GCGTGCATGCATGCTAGACACACACACGTAAACACACATACGTACACACAGCCCCAAATAGATATTATATATATATATATATATATATATATATATATATTTACAACCACAGTACATACATACTCTTGCATCCATCCTAAACACATGCTTCGGACACCGCTATGCAACCACACTTCTGATCCCAGCACACACATACACAGATACACATAGACATAAACATATACATACACATACACACAGACATACTTGGGGTTGGTAACACAGAATATCTTGCATTCGTCAGGGTCTAGACAGTCCTCTCCGGCAATAGCGAAGTACTTTGTCCACTCCCACACATTGCCGGCCTCCAGTTCGGTACGCGTTCTGGGATTGTACATTCTGTGCTGGGTATAGGGGTTTTAATGTTTTGGGCGATAGATTCTGAGCAGAAGGTATGAGACCCATTGAGGTGTGGGTGTGAGTGCCTAATTTGTATGTGACTGTCTGATGTTTGCGTGGGTGTCTGTTTGTTTGGGTGCATATCTGATGGGCGTAGTCGGTTACCGTGTACTTGCACATCATGTGTACGTGCGAAGTTCGAATATACATGTGACTACCTACTTTAGGTTTGGAATATACATGTGACTACCTACTTTAGGTTTGGAATATACATGTGACTACCTACACTAGGTGTGGAATATACATTTGACTACCTACATTATGTTTGGAATATACATGTGACTACCAACATTGGGTTTGGAATATACATTTGACTACCTACATTGGGTTTGGAATATACATGTGACTACCTACACTAGGTGTGGAATATACATTTGACTACCTACATTATGTTTGGAATATACATGTGACTACCTACATTGGGTTTGGAATATACATTCGACTATCTACATTGGGTTTGGAATATATGTGACTACCCACTTTGGGTTTGAATACCTCAAGCGTGTGTGAATACCCCGCGTGTATCAGTCGTACCAAGTGATTGTGTGTGTAAGTACCAAGTGATTGTATGTGTGTGTGTGTTACCAAGTTATTGTATGTATGTGTGTGTGTGTCAGCAGTACCAAGTGATTGTATGTGTAAGTACCAAGTGATTGTATGTGTGTGCGCGTGTATGTATGTGTGTGTTACCAAGTGATTGTATGTGTGTGTGCGTTACCAAGTGATTGTATGTGTGCGTGTGTGTGTGTGATACCAAGTGATTGTATGTGTGCGTGTGTGCGAGTGTTACCAAGTGATTGTATGTGTGCGTGTGTGTGTGTCAGTAGTACCAAGTGATTGTATGTGTGTGCGTGCGTATGCGTGTGTGTGTTACCAAGTGATTGTATGTGTGCGTGTGTGTGCGTGTCCGAGTACCAAGTGATTGTATGTGTGTGCGTGCGTATGCGTGTGTGTATTACCAAGTGATTGTATGTGTGCGTGTGTGTGTGTGTCCGAGTACCAAGTGATTGTATGTGTGTGCGTGCGTATGTGTGTGTGTCAGTAGTACCAAGTGATTGTATGTGTAAGTACCAAGTGATTGTATGTGTGTGTTACCAAGTTATTTCTATGTGTGTGTGTTCCCGTGCAGCCCCTCCAATTAACAAGCTTTTGGTCTCATTCTCCTTAGCAACCGAAGGCATGATATGAGGCTTGCTGCTAAGACATACGCTTGTACGTCTCTACGCTCGGTGTTGGTCTTAGACACCTTAGCCAACCCCAACTCAACATCCATTACTTGCTGAGCCGCCTCATCCACGTTGTCGAACCCTGTGAGGGTAAATGAAGAAGTAAATATAGGTACAAACACGCACCAGCACCAACCATAAACACACTATGAATGAGTATAGGACCAATGATAACCCAATACACACAATGAATTAATTATAGGACCAATACCAATTCAATACGCACTATGAAAAAATTATAAGACCAATACCAACCCAATACATACTATGCTTTAAATTTAGGACCAATACCAACCCAATACACACTAATACCAACCCAATACACACTAACACCAACCCAATATATACTATAAATTAGTTATAGGATCAAAACCAACCCGATACACACTATGAATTAATTAGAAGACCATAGCAACCCACAAACTATGCATCGAATATAGGACCTATACCAACCCAGTACACACTAATACCAACCCAATACACACTATGCATTAATCATAGTACCAATGTGGTCTGTAGACAGACTAATAATATATCACATTATGCACAGTATACAAAAAACCGGCATAGCAATTCTCAGTGATCAGACGGCGGTCTGTAGACAGACGAATAATGCAACGCATTAAATACACTAGCGATTGGATGGACTACGCGACCAATCTCCAGTAGTACGTTACCACGGCTTATGTGATAACTCATCTACAACAATACGTTTCCATTCAAAGGACAGTTTAGGCACCACATACCAGCCAGCTGGAAGATTTTAGCCACGTGTTTAACGTACGCTTTCCGCTTGTCCTCCTCTGTGAGAATTGCAACAAGAAATGAACATGTGTGTTAGAGTGGGTGCGTAATACTGGCAAGGGGATCAGAATAAGCACACATGTGCATACCGACACACACACATACAAACACATATATAAATAGATAAATAGATAAATATATACACATTTACACACACAAGCACACACACACACATACATACATACATACATACATACATATATATATATATATATATATATATATATATATATAATATATAATAATATATATATATATATATATATATATATATATATACTACACACACACACACACTATATAATA